ATCTTTTTCCTTCCTTATTTTTTCATGATCAATTTTTCTATTCCTCATAAAATTCAAAAATACAAAAAGATTTTTTTCACGTAAGATAAGGAGCTAACATATTCACTACTCCTTAACTTCCGTATTTTTATCTATCTTATTATTGTGATACGTTTGAAAGATGCAATTATTACACCCTATTAAACCCATACTACCCCTATAACTACCCTACTACCTTACCATACAAACCGTCACTTTTTCTCACCCTTCCCAATTAAATTTTTTCTTTAACACTCCACCTTCACCCATCAAATCAATTAAACTCCCCATAAACTTCCATAACCGGCCTCACTCTCTCTCCTCCCTATTCACACTATTCATCTTCTCCTTCCTTTCAATTCATCCTCATAACCATGAAAACCAACCTAACCTCAACCCCGAAACAACCAAAAACCCGGAAGCCTTCCTCTGTTGGCGGCTCCCCTGAACCAGTCCCACTTGCCGTTGTTCACCCTCAAGCTTCGACAAAGAGAAAGGCTACAACCGTGAAAGGAGGTGACAGAAAGAGGCGAAGCTCTCAAACGTCTCCATCTTGGAATTACACTCACGGTTATCACATCAATTATGACTGGTGTACGGCAAGTAAGTTCTCCGAATTCATCTCCTTAATTGATTATCAAGAATGGGTGCATTTGTTCCAAAATTGTTCTCACTATCCAATTTACCCTAAGCTTTTGTTTGAATTCAAAAATACTTTCAAACACAACAATGGTGTTTGCACGGCTACGGTCAAAGATACTCACATTCATTTTGATATTGCATATTTAGGGAATTTGTTTCAAGTCCCCACCTCTGGCTATAGTTCATACCTAAAACACAAGCAAATTGTGCAAATTGGGCATTATGATGAGAATAGGGTTATTAAATTTATCGGTGGAAACCCGAAAAGCAAGACTTCGCATCATAACATACTCACCCCTCTTCACAAATTATTGTTCAATTTCACATGGAGAGGCATTGTTCCTCGTTTGCAAAAACGTAGCACAGTATCCCTACTAGATGCAACCATCATCTTTTGTCTTGCTCGGAAAATAAAAATAAACTTTCCAAAGTTGATGATTGAACATTTGGCTTTCTATGCAAATAAATCTACTATTCCATATGGATCTCTCCTCACTGTGTTGTTTAAGTCTTTTGGGATTGATGTTGAAAGTGAGTCACCCACTTATATTAAACCTGAGAACATTCTCTCGGAGCAATCTTTGCTTCGCCTGAGCCTTAAACTTGAGAGTGGGACACTTACTTTCTTGACGAGAGGAAGTGAGGAGAAAAATCGTGGAAAAGGGAAAACACAGGTTGTAGAGGGAGATACAAGTGAGTCAGAAGAGGAGGAAAGTGAGTCTGAAAAAGAGGAAAATAAAGAAAAAGGAGAGGAAGAAAAAGGAGAGGAAGCAATTTCTGAGGGGGAACCTCAGGAGGCAGTTTCTGTGGAAGAAGAGGAGACTCAGAGTGAGGGGGAATCTAGCTCAGAAAGTGAGAGTCTCGACCTCCCTTATACAGGAGGACTAAGGCGGAGTAAGAGGAAAATTGTCAAACCTGCTACTTCTACTCTAAAGCCTGTGATCATTGAAGACATTAGCTCTTCTGATCACTCAGACCCTGATTTCACCCCTACACAAGTTCCTTTTGCCTCCGAGCCATCTCCTGTTCCTGCCTCTCCCACAAACCAAGCTAAACCCTCTTCCCCTCCTGTTTCACCAAAACAGACTTCTCCCTCTCCCTCCCCAGCTTTTCCTACATCACAGCCTACAGGCTTTGCTGCCTTCTCTGGAACAAATGCTTCTGTTTTTGATATTCAACAGGTGAAAGCAGAAATGGAGAAGCTGGTAAAGATGGTGTGCACAAAGCTGGAGGACATGGCAAAGCAGCTGGCTTCTCTTCAACGCCAAGTGCAGGCTGTGGCAGATGCTCAGGCAACCAGTTTTACTGGGATGGAGAACAAAGTTGATGCTGCTGAGAAGAACATACTGCACAGCACTCAGGAGATATTGGAGACGATTAACAGGGTGGCTTTTGAAGAGGTGGAGGAAGCTTCCAATGATCCCAAAACCCCAGCTGATGAACCTACTTACTCACCATAATTGCAATTTCAAACTTGTCACTTTTACTTCTTTTGTTTTTGCTTGTTCCATTCGGATTTCAGTTTGTAACTCATAACTTTTGCTGCTCTTTCCTGCTTTTGTTTTCGTCTATGGGAACTTGGCTCGTATTTTTCATATGATTGTGTGTGTTTGCTGATGATTTAGTACCTAACTTATTTTTGCCTTGCATTATTTGAGCTCACTATTCCCTACGTAGTCTAGTGGGAGTATAGCAAAATGTTTTTTTTCAATCTTTTGATAATGCCAAAAGGGGGAAAAGACAAACTTCATGGCGGCTAAAGTGTTTACCAAGGAACTCACACATCGAAGGTACAAACTTTTCTAAGTTAATAAAGTCCTAGTAATCTAAGTTTTTAAACTTTTTCTAAGATTTTAAAGTCTTTGTTAATTTTTTCTCTTTTGCTCAGTCTTTTTAAAATAAATACTTTTTAGCTTTTTTTAAGTTCTTTAATTACTCTGTTTTTTTTTGTTTTCATGTCTTACTTTAAATTTCTGTTGCATGCCTGGATGATTTTATTTACTTAAGTTTGTCAATGTTTGTCATCATCAAAAAGGGGGAATTTGTTGAGCCTTTTGATTTTGATGGACAAATTGACAAACTCGACTAATGAATGTTTTGAGTCTTTGGTGAATAAAGGGTTCAAGCAAAGTTCGTTCCGGAGTAGGAACTTGGATGCGGAGTAGCATTCTTTAAAAAGCCTCGTGCAAATCTCACGTTCTAGTTTTAATTGTGAGCACTCAATAATATAAAGTCGGAAAGGAACTCAATGACTTATGTTAAAGACTACTGGAATAAAAGTTAGTTTTAAAAGATAATTTCTTAAAGAAAAGATAATTTGTAAAAGTTTTAATAAAGATAATTATCGAAGATAATTATCTAGTTGTTTTAATAAATAATAAATTTATCTTTTCAAATAAAATCTTTTTAAACAAACTTTTGATAATCTTTTAAATAAATATTTGATAAAGTTAGCAAGTGGTTTTTCTGTGAGAAAATCTTTTATACGGCTAATGGTTATCAAGTTGTTAGGATAGTGGTTTAATTAGATAAGGCTAGGAAACCTGTTCATGATCACAATCTGTCAAGATAACTCCACAAGTTGTTAGTGGGTTGTTGACATGTGGACGTGATTATGGTGGAGGTTAATGACTAAGCCTTCTCTATAAATACTCATGCAAACTATCTCAGAAAAATATAACTCTTGAGCATAAAAATTCCAGTAGCCATCTAATAACATAAAGAGAGTTATTTTCCTTCATATATTCTTGAGTGCAATAGGTATTTGTAATCACAGATTGTATTCAAGTACTTAGGGGTTGGGATTGTGAGTTTGTAAAGTGAGGTCAAGGAAGCTTCGTTGCTGAAGTCTTCTGTGAGAGTTGGGAACAAGTTCCTAATTTGTGGAACTTGTTAACGGGTTTGAATCTTCACTTGTAAAGAGTTTGATTACTTAGTGGAAATTTAGAAAAGCCTATATCTTCTCTCGTCACTATTTCATTTAGTTAAATTCCGCAAAAAGTTTTTAGATTTCACCTCAAATACAATTCACCCCCCCTCTTGTATTAGCCAGTTAGACTTTCATCAGTACAAGTTTCTTGATCCTAGAAGGAGATAATCTACACAATTTGTTCCCAAAATTATCTTTAGAAGCACTTGGAATCGCGATTGATGGGAAATCAAGCTTCATAATCTTGGTTGCTCTTGTTCTTCTTCCTATAATTTTGTTGGACAGCCTAAGCATTTTGGCCTACATCTCTGCAACCGGAGTTTTCGCTTCTGTACTGATACTTGCATCTGTTGTATGGGTTGGAGCTGTTGATGGGATTGGATTTCACCACGCAAACGATCCAGGCACCGGCCTTATTAATTGGAAAGGAATACCAACCGCGATAAGCTTATACATGTTATGTTACAGCTCTCATCCTGTTTTTCCTGCCCTGTATACTTCAATGCAGAGAAAACAGGATTTCTCTAAAGTTTTACTCCTGTGCTTTACATTCTCTAGTATCATATATTTTTCGATGGCAATCTCTGGGTACTTAATGTTCGGGTTAAGTGTTGAGTCACAAATAACTTTGAACCTTCCAACGAACAAAGTGAGCTCACAAATCGCAATCTACACAACTTTGATCACTCCTCTGGCTAAATATGCACTGATACTGAAGCCTGTTGTAATATCAACAGAAGGTTGGTTTTCAAGTGATTATCAAAAGAACAAGTGTTTTAAGGTTACAATTAGAATAGCCTTACTCGCTTCACAAGTTGTCATATCATTGGCTCTTCCGTTCTTTGGGTACCTCATGTCACTTACCGGAGCATTGCTTTGTGCCACGGCTTCGCTTACAATGCCGTGCTTGTGTTACTTGAAGATTTCATCAAGCACCAATTATGGCTCTAGTTGCGGGCGATTTTACGTTGAACGGTTCTTCATTTGGTGCATTGTATGGTTAAGTATTGTGATACTGATATCCGGTACTTACACCTCTTTGGTTGATATATTGGCAGAATTCACACATTGAGTAATTAGTCTATATACCATTTTTGTGGCGAATTGTTTTGTTATAATGTTTAAATTAGTTCTTTATTCGAACAACGAACGCTAGGATATTTACAAGGAAAAAATTATATTCATATATTAAGAGTACTATAAGTTTATATTTACTCCGTATTATAGATTATATATATATTTAATATTTTATTTATTTAAAGTTGTTATTATTATATTCTACTCCTCATTATTTAGGTTGTATTATTATTACGAAGTATTTCTTTTAAATCAATTTTTATCATGTTTTAAGGAATTTTTTCTTTTTAAAAAGGTTTTTAGCAGGAATTTTTTTAATGTAGACGTGACACGTATACTTCTAAGATAACCCTGGTGATTCTTTAGTATATAATATGATTAATTGACATAATAAATTCATATATTAATGCACTTTCATGTTTTGCAATGCATTGAACATACTGGTACATACTATCATTGATTCATTAGGGCTCTCTTGTTACATACCTATTGGACGTAATACAGATAACTCTCTAGCTTAAAAATAAAAACAATAATAAAAGAAGACATCAAAATAAAAATAAATAATGATAAAGTCTCTATGCGACTGGTTTCCCCAAAGCTTGATCACTTTGGTGAAAATTGACCTCCTCTAATGATATTCGCAGCTTGGTTTCAAGAAAAAATAAATAAAGTCTATGCGACGAATGAGCCTTCCATAACGGTAACCGCTTCACCGGCAATAAGCACACTTTGTGCATCTGTATCTACATTTAGCCTTAAAATTCCTCCTCTTGGAGAGGCCTGTCACCCACACAACAAAACAAACATTAAATACTATGTATGTCAATGTTGTTGATTTAATTACACGTATACTTTATCAATGTAACTATTGAATTTCGATGGATAAATAATTTAGTTGTTACGTAGCTAGTTCAATTTAAATACCATGTATGCCTTGAGGTGAGATTTTCCAAGTTTTTTGCTCCAATATGGCGCCACTGCACAATGTATACTCCCGCATACTTGATCCTGCTCAACGTTATGCCCACATTTTTTAATTAGCTAAAATCTTAGTTTATAATAAGCTAAAATTTTAGTTTATATATAGGAGGTCTAGTATAACGAATATGAACGTAATATAATGCAAATTAATAAGGGAGTAAATAATTTTAGTAAATTAATAATATGATGGGGAAAAATAATCATGTATACCTCATCAATTCCGAAATTGGGACTAAATAAACGTGTAAAAAAATCGAATTCGGATTCGGGTGGAGCTAATCCTGTAATAGCAACACCTCTTCCAGGCCACTTTTTTATTTCATCCATTTTTGGTTTATAATCTGTTACATCCTTGCTAGACATCAACTCAACCTGTATAAATAATAATATAACACAGGAGAGAAAAATTAAATACTAATGCTTTAGATTTTAGACTTTGGTAGCTCTATATAGCAAATTGTTCAAATTGAGCCAATAATAATGTTCATTATGTAAACAAAAAAACAAAGTTTACTAAAATAAACCCTTAAATTAGAGTTTACTACCCTAAAATAAACACTTGATTAACTCTAAATTATGTATAAGAATTGAAGTATTATGCAATGACTAATGTGACTAACGTGCACATTTGCTGTTTAAGTTTGAATTGAAAGTGACTTGGAACTTACAATGAGATCGTTCTCTCGAGACATTTTCATTATATTCAATGTGGAAGGACCTTTGAGCGATGGAGGCACCAACTTCATCTCATTTGATTCAAGTTGAACGGTTGGATATAGAGGAAAACGTAACTGAATTAAGAACTTCTTGTGTCCATTTTGAAAAATTTCATCATTTTTCGAAATTTCATGACTCCCACTTCTATTATTCTCTATAATCCTCTTAGCCAAGAAAACTCCTGAGAGGGTGTCAAATTCAATCTCATTTCCCTGGACTACCCCCGTCGAAAATATTGCATGCGTGCATGCTATAGTTCCATGGCCGCAAATTTTTACCTAGTAATCATAACAATAAAGCAAAATTGTTTCATACAAAGTATTACAAATAATGGATTAATATTGAACTATGTAGAATGTACAATATGATACCTCTGAAGCAGGGGCAAACCATCTAAGGTTATATCTAGGAGTCTTTGATGCCTTCAAAGTTGTCACCTTTGTTACAAAACAAGTTAACAGGTTGAACTCTTGAGCCATTGCTTGCAAACATTCTTGATCTTTCTCTTCATCTAACAATAATACCACTGCAGGATTTCCCTTCAAAGGCGAGCTCGTAAATGCATCCACCTATATATAAGGAACAAGGACTGTTAATACTTAGCTACTATATATGAAAAGGGAATAAAAAAAATTATGATATTTCAAAAAAAAAAAAAAAAAAAAAAAAATTATGATAGAGAAAAAAAAAATGTACCACAAAGTATTTCAAGGATGTTTTTACTCCAACCATTCTTCTTATTGATTGAATAATATATTCCCTGCAACATAATTAATATAGGTAAGAAAAGAAATATATACAAAATCAAATTATGATATTTCCATATTACAAGTATATACCTTCACGTACTCCATCCTAAATAAAAAATAACTCCAAATTTGTTATTAAAAAAAAAAAAGAAAAAGGGGGGATATTAGAGAAGGATTACCTTTCAAAATATCAAGGGTAAAAAATATAATAATTAATTAGAAGCTCATTTAAGAGGGAAATAAAAGTAGAGAATCAAAAGTTATGTGGAAATTTTTAACAAACCTTTTGAACTTATATATAGAGTAAGAGTATGATGATGGTATAATATTCTACTATTTCTTTTATGAAGCTGCTAAGAAGCTTCAAAAAAATTAACATTAAGTATAATTACACTCTTAAATCTTAATTATTCTACACTTTATTTTTTTTATTTTTGAATTTTTGTATTTTTTTTTTTTTTACAATAGCAACTACTCCGTATTTCTTTTATGAAGCTGCTAAGAAGCTTCAAAAAATTAACATTAACTATAATTACAGTCTTAAACTTACTGTAATTATTCCACTTAAACAGTTAAACTTAGCTTAGCTTAGCTTATTATGAAGTATACATTTGCAAGGAAGTGTTATTTATCGTTCTAGAAGGCCGACAAAGTACGTGGAATTCCATGTGATTGTATTGATTTTCAAATCTTTGACAATATTACGTACATTCTAGAAAATATTGTCAACATTTGCTTACTATCATACTACATTGTTTGACTCATAATATGGAATATTCTCAAGTACTAACTTCTTTTGCAAGTAATAAATTCCATGCACCCTAGAATTTTGTGGACTAAATTCACTAAACACATTGGTCATGTATACAAAGGAAACTACAATAATAAACCAATTGTTGGTACGTTTTCAAATAAATGTCTTATTTGTTTTTTTTTAACACAAAAGTAATAGGCTTGGTTGATTATATGAGAATAGTACATATAAATATTAAGATGGTGATGTTTAATTAATTAAAAGGGGATTACAAAAATGATAAGGTATGGATAAATTAAATAATAAAAACAATATATTTTGTATATAGATAATTAGGTAAAATGAGATATTTATTTAGGGATGGCGAGAATACTATTTGATTGTATCAACACACTACATGCTGCCAAAAACAATGAATTGAATAAGAAAGTATAGCAAATTTTTTAATGTGGAATAGCTTAATCAGATCATACTAAATTGTACAACCTAATAACAATTTCACCTCAAAATGAGGTTAATTACTTTAATTTTAAGGGAATAATTTGTGTAACAAATTAGTCTAATGTTATCGTGTTTCTCGATAGTGGCATTATTTTTTAATTAGTCAATTCTGTTTTGCTTAGTTTCCTAAAGTAAAGGTTAACTTTAGCAAGTTGTATATATCTTACTCCGTGGTAGTTTATTTGTTAAAAATCCTTGGTTAGCTTTGTATAGGGTTGTTTAAGTATCTAATTAATAAAAAAAAATATATATATATATATATATATATATATATATATATATATAATACTCATATTTTCGTAAAATGAGACGTTTATTTTGAGGACGGAGAGAATACTTTCTAACAATATTGTTACACTTCTTATTATTGCCAAACTAACAATATTAGTATACTCTGGTTCACTAAAGTATGGTATAATGTGGACTAATTTTGATTTGATATTCTAATTTGATTATAATCGTATTTTCATGCACTAGTAATAAGGTTTAAATATTTTTATTTTTTTTACTTTTTTACTATTTCCTTAAAAAGCCGTATAAAACAAGTTCTTAATAGTTAGGAAGTAATTAATACTTTCCTCAAAAAAAAAAAAAGTAATTAATACTACGAGCAGCATAATAGTGGTCTGCGGCCAAACAAAAGTAGTCAATTTTTTTTGGACACACTACAAAAGTAGTCAAATTTTGTGGAGAAGCTTCTAAAAGGGTGCGTGGATGTACAACAGTACAGTTGTACATTATGAGCTGTGTGAGTCAATATTGACTTTACAATTTTTTTTTCCATTAATTCTTATGCAATACTCCCTCCGTTTATAAATATTTGCTTCACGTTTTTTTTTTTCCGGCCGTTTTTAAATACTTGCTCCATTTTTTTTTGGAAATCTTTCTTAATATTTAATTCATTTCTCACACTTAGTGGACCCAACATAATACTCTATCTCCTTTTATTCTTCAACTACTTTTGCTTTTTACAATTTTTATTTTCTCAACTACCCCACTAGCTCCATATTTTATTACTTTATCCAATTTCTCCTAAAACTCCGCACATGGAGAAATGGAACAAGTATTTAAAAACGGAGGGAGTATTAAATTGATAAAATATTATACAAACTTCAATCCACCATTAGTGCATTAGCGTCCATCCCCTAATCTAATAGGTAATTTATTTATTTTCATTCCCAAATTGTTCGAAAACAGCTTTGTTTATCGTCACAAATAATATTAATAGATCTATGAAGATCAATTAAACTATCACATTCAAATGTGTTATAGGAACTTCTTCTAAAAATATGTGTTATGGGACCTATTCAAGTAAAGGTTTAAATAGATTGTTAAGAGTAGTCCTAAGAGCTGAACTGATGAACAAAACAGAGCTGATTAGAGCTAAACTAAACCTAAACTGAAATGAAATTAAGCCGAAGAGAACAGATCCTAAATTGAGTTTATATTATACCATGCTCCAATACATAATTCTCTTTATAATTTATGTCCATCCTTAAATTTTCTATAAGTAGATATTTGAACCCATTATCTTAATTATTATACATTCATACTAGCTCTGAATTCCAATTAAACAAAAGTTCGGTCAATTTAGTGGGCGTCAACTTTGAAGCTTGACTTAAGATGAAGAGTTCAAGTATCAATTTAACACTTTTACTTATTTATTTTTCATATTATATTAAGGTCCACAATATATCTTTTTCGATCACCATCAGAATATTTCCCAGATTTTGTGCTTACACATTCATTTTAAAATCATGGAAATAATAATACTACACTCTATCAGTATTTAATTAACTTCAAAAGTATCCCTAAAAAAAACCAACTACTTTAGAAGATATTGCTTTAATTATCATACATAAAAAAAATCTACTCAAAACTTACGCAATAGTATTCGGCCATTAGTTAGTTTAACAAATCTCAATTCCTTCTCCCTCACTTTAAACCTCCTTAGAATATGGCAATGGAGGGTGAACACAGTGGGAGTACTTCTCCGCCTACGCCGGCACTCGAGGTGTTAGAGGCTAACAACGAGCTGTCTCTTGTAGAGGGTAACACCTCTTTCTTCAAGACTTTCTTCAATGGTGCCAACGCCATCCTCGGTTAGTTCTTTTGCCATTTTTTTTTTCACTCATCATATAATATCGTGCGTGTGCACTAATTAATACTTTCCCCGTCTCATAATATAATGTCCGTTTTTATTATCTTAGCTTCTTTGTGTCTATATATTTCATACGAAGCAATGTAATGCATAACATACACATGATGTGATATTTTCTATATGCATCGATAGGCTTCCTAAATCTCTTGTTCGATGTTATTTCTCCGTTTTTTTAATTTTTACCTTATTATTAGTAATTTTACAATCAAATATATATAATATATATATATAATGTATCATAAATCCTCTAATATATGAGAGGAAAAAAAAATGTCACATGTGATTCGATTTGTTAATTTTGATCAATGTGTATTCTTAAGATATAAAATTTTTAAAATTGAAATGTAGAACAAATTCAATTCCTGATGTATATAGTAACAACAAATACAAATTTATCTGTCAGATAAACGAATTTTATTTAATCTGGTGGCATTTCTGTAAATATATTGAAAAAACGTAATTATTTATTTAGTACTTTTGGTGAGTTGTTCAATTACTGTTTGCAATTTGCATTTACTGTTTGGTGAAGAAATCACACATGTACCCTCAACTAGTACATGAAAAGACGCATGTACCCCTTTCTTGGTACTTGAAAAGACTATTAAACCCCAGATAAATATATTTATCTAGCTCATATTAGTATATATTGATGAAATTCTTACTTAATCGAGTTAATCAAATTTCTTTCTAACAAATATTATATTTACTTCATTTTTCTTGTTTTGTTTTTACGCTCAGGAAATGGTGTTTTGTTAGTTCCCTATGCATTAGCCTCGGGAGGTTGGTTGAGTTTAATCCTGCTTTTCACCATATTCATTTTCGTTACCTACACGGGCCTTCTAATAAAGAGGTGCATGGAGGCCGATCAAAGCATCAAACATTATTCGGACATAGGGGAGCATGCTTTTGGTAAAATTGGTAAAGTTGTGGTCTCAATAGTCTTATATGCAGACCTCTATATGGCCACCACAGGTTTCCTAATCTTAGAAGGAGACAATCTACATAGTTTGTTCCCTAGGGTGGCAATTCATGCACTTGGGATTTCAATCGATGGAAAATCAAGTTTCATTATAATCATGGCGATAATTCTTCTCCCTACGGTGTTGTTGGACAACTTAAGTATTTTTGCGTATATCTCTGCCACTGGTTGTGTAGCTAGTCTTTTGGTACTTGGATCAATTATATGGGTTGGAGCATTAGAAGGTGTCGGATTTCACCAAGCTCAAACTACAACACTTCTCAATTGGAAAGGAATACCAACGGCTATTAGCTTATACATGTTGTGTTACACTTCACATCCTATTTTTCCTACTTTATACACTTCCATGCAAAAGAAGCATCATTTCTTTAAGGCCTTGTTGCTTTCCTTTGCCTTCTCCTCCTTCATATATGTTTCGATGGCAATCTTAGGATACTTGATGTTTGGATCAAGAGTCGAGTCACAAATAACATTGAACCTTCCAACACACAAAATAGGCTCGAAAATTGCTATTTACGTCACTGTGATCACTCCTCTTGTAAAATACGCATTACTATTGAAACCGGTGGTTATTACTACTGAAAGTTCGTTTCCAAGCAAATACATGAAGAATGTGTTCTTCAAGATTGTGATTCGAGCAGTCTTGGTTGCTACGCAAGTTATTGTAGCCTTGGCTCTTCCATTCTTCGGTTACCTTATGGCTCTTGCTGGAGCAGTACTAGGTGCCACGGGTTCCCTTACAATTCCATGCTTATGCTACTTAAAGATTTCAAGTAATGCCAAGATTAATAGAAGATTAGTGGAGAGTATTTATATTTGGGTGATTGTATGTTCTAGTATATTGATTCTAGTATCGGGTACATATACCTCCTTAGTAAATATAGTACATGAAATCATGCATAAATAGGTAATTACTTTGTCTAGTTTATGTTGTAAACAATTTCAATTTATGATAAGCAAAAAAAAATTGAAGACCCATGACAAACATTTGAATTTTAAGCTTAGCTTACTTCATGCATGTATGTGGTTATTGTAATGTTTGCAGAAAGAGAAACAAATTAAAGGGATCATTTTTATATTAAATCAAATTACTAAGTACTAACATACGGGTTAAAGTACTCAATTTTAATTCTTTCAAAAAAAAAAAAACAATTTAAATCAATTTCAAAATTAAAGAGGGTGTAGAATGTAGATGGAGTCTTCCTACATAAAATTTGGTTTGGAACAATAATAAGCAAACCGTAAGTTTTTAAACTCTTATAAGACATTCTTAGAAAAAAAAAAACTACAAACGAGAAATCCCAAGGTATCTATTAAGATTGAAATATTTCAAATGAGTTATCAATTTATCACAGTACCTTTGTTAATATTTTTATAATGGTGTGTGACACTCTCATTATTATATTGTTGATGTTAATACTTGGCCAAAGAGGGTAGTTCCTTAACTCATCTCAGGGGCACTTTCATCGTAGTGTTACATCCATTATTATTGATTTATTTTAAGACATGTAGAAAGAGGCTTTATTTAATCACGACATCTATGAGTCTCGTTTAAGTGTCGGTCATCGTTCCCTTACACTGCTCATTGTTTGATGTTGTTTCCGACAACGGCTGAGTTTAAACTTTTTTTTTTCATGTTAATTACTTTATTAGGGTGAAGTGGTATCCAAAAGGACAAACGCTAACACAAATTAAAGGTCATACACTCATGCCAATCTAAGAGTCACCAAATTGGAGAAAAATGATTTATTTTGTGTATAAACCCCAAAAGTAAAGGGACAAAAAAACAAAAAGAAGGAAAATTTACAATCCGAGCAAGACGAATTATTGTTACACTCCATTGCTTAAGGTAATTTCTGTTTTCTAGCCAATGTCTGTAATTTGATTGAATATTTACCATGGCATATCCCTTGATTGTGAAATTCTAGTATTAGATGATGATAATAACGATGATGTTAGGAACAAAGTTCAGTCTTTTCTTGAAAAGTTTGCCTCCCACTTCAATTCATCCTCTTGTTTCTTTTTCTCCTTTACCCATCTTTTCTATCTCCTCCCAACATCGATTTTGTTCATCAGGTCTTCTTTCTGTCTTCAATTTCAGTTTTTGATTGTTAATTTCGATCTGGGTACTTGTAATTTGCTCCTAATTAAATTGGGTATGTGTAAAATTTCATGATTTAATTTTTTTTTAATGTTTATTTGGGTGTAGAACGAAGAAAGCTAAGACTGCAAGTGAGAAATTGTGTTCCTAGCATTGAGCAACAGTTAATTATGGCGTTGGAGAGCAAGGAAGAAGATTCATGTGAAGTGAATAGGAATCTGTATCCTCCAATTGAGCCTTATAGTTCTGGGTTCTTGAAGGTTTCAGATATTCACACCCTTTATTGGGAGCAATCTGGGAATCCAAATGGGCATGTGAGTTTATTATTATTGATGCTAATTAGTTGCTAATCTGCTCATTTTGGTGTTTAATTATGCAATTTAAGGGTAAAGGTTGCTGCTTTATGTTTCTTCTTAATGTGCATTTTACTGTAAGTGGACATAGTGGTGTTGTTAGCTCCTTTTGCAGTGTTTGTGGGAAGTACATGTTAGTATTCGTGATCGATCAATCTCACACACACGAACAAAAAAATTGCTAGTGTTTGTGTCACACCAATTGCAACCTCCATTGTCCAATCCATTGTTTGGGAATACTAAGTTTACTTGATGCTATTCGAACCTTGATTCAACTTAGGGTTAGACAGTCATCAGTGAACATATTTTCATTTAAGAAAAATTTCTGAAGAAATGAGTTAAATTATCTTAAGAGGTTGGTGGGGATATTCTTCCGACAGGTTGAGCTAAAAATAGCTAACTTTGGACTCTTTACATGCCACACTACTATATGAATTTTTTTTGTAAGAAATGAGTAGGATGAGAGCTAATTTTATGAAAATTGAGAATCGTAATCTAAAATTTTCTTATATCAGATGTATTAAAAGAAGATGAACAATGGACATGAGATCATATAAAATTTGGTTTAATTAATGTGACTACATCAAGTGACTGAATGACAAATCTCGATGTGCAAGAGAGCGATGCTATAGACTTTACGTTAATGGGTATAGTGGATGGTCAGATGGGTGGAAACTCTAGGAAGTAAAGAGAGGCGAGCGATTTGGCTATAATGACGGTGTGAAGGTAAAGTGAATTGTTCGAACCTCCTAAATTGCCTCTTGTGGTGTCGTGGGGTCTGTGGGATGAACCCTAACCACTTTTTTTCCCAGGTCCGAAAAAGTCCAAAATTGTAAAAAAAAATGAAGAGTAAAATACACGAAATCGGATCAATTTTGGAGGTTTTGGGACCGGTGTCGAAAAATCTTTGAAACGTAAGGGATGCAACTCTGGGTCATATAATATTATTTGAAGCGTTATATAACCACTAGTCGGTCATATAAAGGTCTATGGTGGCCTTGAGTTAGTTATGGGAGGCAAGCGCGTAAATGGCTAAAATGACGGTTTGAAGGTAAATTGAATGATTTCAACTACCTAAATGGCCTCCCGAGGAGTTGTGGGAGGAGTTGTGGGATCCAGAGGAAGATCCCCAACCACTTTTTTCCCGGATCCGAAAAATCCAAAATTGTCAAAAGAAAAATGAAGACTACAGTACATGAAATCGAACCAAGTTTGGAGATTCTGGGACCGGTGTCGAAAATTCTCTAAATTGTTGGAAATGCAATTCGGGGTCATATAATATTATTTGAAACCATATATGACCACTAGTCGCCGTAGTCGGTCATATAAAGATTTGTGATGGCCTTAAGTTAATTAAGAGAGACGAGCGAGTAAATGGCTAGAATGGTTATTTGAAGGTAAATTGAATGATTTCAACCACCTAAATAACCTCCGGGTGTTGTGGGGTCCATGGAAAGAACTCCAACCACTTTTTTCCCCTTGTCCAAACAAGTCCAATTTGTAAAAAAAAATAAAAATGAAGACTATAATACACAAAATTGAACCAATTTTGGAGGTTTTGGGATCGGTGTAAAAAAATCTCTAAATTGTAGGGGATGTAACTCGAGTTATTATATTATTTGGAACCATTTATGACTAGTAGTCGGTCATATAAAGGTTTGTGGTAGCCTTGACTTAATTATGGGATACGAGCATGTAAATGGCTAAAATGGCAATTTGAAGGTAAAGTGAATGGTTCCAACTACCTATATGGCCTCTAAGGTGTCATGGGGTCCATGGGAAGAACCTTAACCACTTCCCCCCCCCCCCCCCGGTGCTGTAAAAGTCCAAAATTGTAAAAAAAAATTAACACTAGTAGACGAAATCGGACCAATTTATCCTTAAAACTTTCAATTTACCGGTTCATAACTTGCACCGATTTCGTGAACTTAAAAGTACCAAGGACATTTACGACAACATTTAATGGTCATATATGGTTCCAAACGACATTATATGACCATGAGATGTATCCCCTAGGGCCTTAAGAATTTTCGCCACCGGGATTCGTGACCTCTGAAATTCCTTAAGAGCGTGGATAATAGCCTTCAATTTTGGAATTTTTTGACCTTTTTTCGCCCGGAAATAAAAATTGCTGAGATGTTTAGCATGCTCCCAAATACCCTCTGGTAGTCCAATTAGGTGGGTGGAACCATCCAATTTACCTTAAAACGGTCAATTTACAAGTTTAGAACTTGCATCGATTTCGTGAATTCTAGCCTACCACGGACATTTATTACAAAATATAATGGTCATATATGGTTCCAAACGGCATTATATGAGCCTCAAATGTATCCCCTAGGGTCTCAAGACTTTTTACCACCGGTTCCCGTAACCTCCGAAATTCCACAAAAAGCGTGGATAATAGACTTCAATTTTTTAATTTTTTTAACCTTTTTCGCCTGGAAATAAAAATTGCCGAGATGTATATTACAGTCCCAAATACCATCCGGAAGTCCAATTAGGTGGGTGGAACCATTCAATTTGCCTTAAAACAATCAATTTACTATTTCACAACTTGCACCGATTTCGTGAACTCAAGCCAACCACAGATATTTAGGACAAGAAATAATGGTCATATATAGTTCCAAACATCATAATATGACCCGGAGATATATTCCCTAGGGCCTCAAGACTTTTCGCCACCGGGCCCGTAACCTCGAAATTCCTAAAAAAACGTGGATAATTAGCCTTCAATTTTGGAATTTTTTGACCTTTTTTCGCCCGGAAATAAAAATTTCCGAAAAGTTTACCATGCTCCCTAATACCCTCCGGGAGTCCAATTAGGTGGATGGAACCATCCAATTTGCCTTAAAACGGTCAATTTACCCGTTCACTACTTGCATCGATTTCGTGAACTCAAGCCTACCACAGACATCTACGACAACATATAATGGTCATATATGGTTCCAAACGACATTATATGACCATGAGATGTATCCCCTAGGGCCTCAAGAATTTTCGCCACCGGAATTCGTGACCTCTGAAATTCCTTAAAAGCGTGGATAATAGCCTTTAGTTTGGAATTTTTTGACCTTTTTAGCTGAGATGTTTAGCATGCTCCCAAATACCCTCTGGTAGTCCAATTAGGTGGGTGGAACCATCCAATTTGCCTTAAAACGGTCAATTTACAAGTTTAGAAGCATCGATTTCGTGAATTCAAGCCTACCACGGACATTTATGACAACATATAATGGTCATATATGGTTCCAAACGGCATAATATGAGCCTCAAATGTATCCCCTAAGGTCTTAAGACTTTTTACCACCGGGTCCCGTAACCTCCGAAATTCCTCAAAAAGCATGGATAATATCGTTCAATTTTTGAATTTTTTTAACCTTTTTCGCCTGGAAATAAAAATTGCCGAGATGTACATTATGGTCCCAAATACCATCCGGAAGTCCAATTAGGTGGGTGGAACCATTCAATTTGCCTTAAAACAATCAATTTACTATTTCACAACTTGCACCGATTTCGTGAACTCAAACGTACCACGTTTATTTACGACAACATTTAATGGTCATATATGGTTCTAAACGACATTATATGACCATAAGATTTATCTCCTAGGGCCTCGAGACTTTTCGCCACGGGGCTTCGTGTCCTCCGAAATTCCTCAAAAGTGTGGATAATAGACTTCGATTTTTGAATTTTTTGACCTTTTTTCTCTAGGAAATAAAATTGCCAAGAAGTTAACCATGGTTCCTAATACCCTACGGGCCCTACGGGAGTACAATTACGTGGATAGAAGCATACAATTTGCCTTAAAGCTGCCAATTTACCCGATCACAACTTGCACCGATTTCGTGAACTCAAGCTTACCACAGATATTTAGGACAACAAATAATGGTCATACATAGTTCCAAACAGCATAATATGATCCGAAGATATATTCCCTAGGGCCTCAACACTTTTCGCCACTGGGCCCGTAACCTAGAAATTCCTAAAAAAACGTGGATAATAGCCTTCAATTTTGGAATTTTTTGACTTTTTTTCGCCCGGAAAGAAAAATTGCCGAAAAGTTTACCATGCTCCCTAATACCCTTCGGGAGTCCATTTAGGTGGGTGGAACCATCTAATTTGCCTTAAATCGGTCAATTTACCCGTTCACTACTTGCATCGATTTCGTGAACTCAAGCCTACCACGGACATCTGCGACAACATATAATGGTCATATATGGTTCCAAACGGCATTATATGACCCTGAGATTTATTCCTTAGGGTCTCAAGAATTTTCGCCACCGGGGGTCGTGACCTCCGAAATTCCTTAAAAGCGTGGATAATAGCCTTCAATTTTGGAATTTTTTGACGTTTTTTCGCCATTGTTGAGATGTTTAGCATGCTCCCAAATACCCTATGGTAGTCCAATGAGGTGGGTGGAACCATCCAATTTGCCTTAAAGCGGTTAATTAACAAGTTTAGAACTTGCATCGATTTCATGATTTCAAGCCTACCATGGAAGTTTATGACAACATATAATGGTCATATATGTTTCCAAACGACATTATATGAGACTCAGATGTATCCCTTATGGTCTCAAGACTTTTTACCACCGGTTCCCGTAACCTCCGAAATTCCTCAAAAAGCGTGGATAATAACCTTCAATTTTTGAATTTTTTTTTTAACCTTTTTCGCCTGGAAATAAAAATTGCCGAGATGTATATTACGGTCCCAAATACCATCCGGAAGCCCAATTAGGTGGGTGGAACCATTCAATTTTCCTTAAAACAATTAATTTACTTTTTCACAACTTGCACCGATTTCGTGAACTCAAACGTACCACGGACATTGACGACAACATTTAATGGTCATATATGGTTCCAAACGACATTATATGACCATGAGATGTATCCCCTAGGGCCTCGAGACTTTTCGCCATGGGGTTTCGTGTCCTCCGAAATTCCTCAAAAGTGTGGATAATAGAC